TTAAATCCTTCTGAGCGTTACTCAGGAGGGTAACCTTGACAACATATGTCAAGCCCAAGGTTATTGGAGGTGGGTGTGTTAATCTAAATAATTACCTAAAATTTTAAGGTATAATAAATAAAAAATAATCAATTAAAGGCATAATAATTACCATTATCATCAGATGAAAGCATAGCTTTTTGTGATAATTTACCATCAAGTCCATATACTGGTAGTGTAAGGCTATTTTCTTTTACAACTCTTCTTCTCAAATTATGATTATCATCTTCATCTTCCAATTCCGTTGTACAATAATCTGTAGTGCTATTGAAACCTTCTTCCGTTAACTTTTCCATTTTCAATACAGCTTGTTCATAAGTACCTAAATTATAATAGTATTACAATTTTATAAATTTTTCTTAGTTTTTATTTTATTTACTTTACCAGCACTTCCAAGTATTTTTATAGGATACTGTGGCCACTTTTCTGAAGGACTTTTGTTATTTTTGACCAATTCATGTAATGTTTTACATTTTATGTTAGTGTATGGAGGTGGCATGAATTTGGTGACCAACTCCTGATTTTCTGGATCAAACAATATCCATGTCGATGGAACACAGTCCATAGACTTTCCGTTTTCACATGTTGACTTGTAAAATTGAACAATACTAAATGTGTTCTTTTTCTTCAATATCGACATCTTTACAGAAAAATAACTACGAAATAAAGTTTTAGTATAGCGCAATGGATGATGGCAAAGAATGATCCGTATACGCTCAAGATTGTCTTAGTCACAGATGTAAGGTAAGGCTGATGGCAGGGAACTTAAGCGATTAAGACTGTTACAATTAGTCGTAGACGTAAGACAGGGAAAAACTGAAGTCGTGAAAGGCCGTTGTACGACTTCAGCTTTTCTCTGCGTTACCTTATGTCTACGACTAAGACAGTATTAGCGTTTACGGGTCGTTCTCTACTGTAAGCCTAACCTCTTAATAACCTCTATATATATAATCTCTTCTCTCTCCGAAAGTTAATCAGTGGATTATCACTAAAGACAGTGAATAGTCAATTCACAGTAATTGATTTTCCACTGATTGATTTCACAGAGTATATAACCTCGTAATAACTATTGTCCGTTCTACATCAAGGGGTGATCCTACTTGCGGATAATCCGAGATGGTTCTTGCGTCACAGCTGACTGGACGCGGTAACGTTGCCGCGCGACGGAACTTGGCTAGGGAAAGTGCGCTCGGATGTGGATTGGCTATATTAGCTATATGTAAAAGATAGTGTGCATTTAAAACCTGAGATCTTTCACCATAAAATTTTGGTAATTGTAGAAAAAATGTTTTCAAATAAGATTCAGCACTTTCATTGTATTTTTGTGCAAAATTTTTTGTGCATAAGATTCGAAAAGCCACATGAAAAAGTAAAAAATGATTATACATTTCAAAACTTAAAATTTGTTTGAAGATAATATGACCTGTGTATAAAGCTAAAAATCAAAGTTCTAGCGCTTTCATATTTGGAACAGGAGCCCGAGGTTTCCGTTGGAATTCTGCAGGAACATATGATTTAATATACGTTGTACGTTCAAACGATTTTTATTGAAAATTAGACTTTAATTTTACAGGACTCTTGTTAAATAGTAAGTCCATAGTATAAATTAAAAATCTAAATGTCACAAATACTCAGTAGCAGGGTGGATAAAGTGAACGACTTCATAACCCTAGCGGCGCCTATGGCATCAGGTTCGAATCCCGACTTTGGTAAGTGGAAATAAATTTAAAATAATTACACATATATTAATTTAATTAAATAAAAAAACTTTCAGAATAAGTTACAAATATGTGGCACGAATGTAAAAACTAATAAATCAGTGGAAAAAAAATAAAAATTTTTTTTTCATATATTTTTAATCTAGCCCAGGCTGGCTGATTACTAGACAGTCATATTAGTCTGCTACTATACTCATTTGTTATACTTCAAATTGTCTAATAGTTGCCTAAACTATACTACCTAGTAGCTAGGTAATTTTTCTTAGTTCGCTATGAGACAACATATTTGGCCAGTACCTAAAATGCAAAAGCGTTACATTACTGTCTCAGCGCTATCTACTTCGGCTAGACAGGGGCAACATAAGACACGTATTGGCTAGCTCATGACTGGGTACAAGTGAGATTAAATTTCCACTCGGGTTAAAGCACCCATAAATTCTGGATCTTTATATTTTAATTACAAGAAATATTTTAGCATAGTCCTTCTCGCTGCTTGTGATGCCAAATATCGTTTCACATGGGTAGATATTGGACAATATGGTGAGAAAATAATAAAATACATATTAATATTTGGTTAATTTTTTTATATTTATAACACAATTGTAATGTCTCGGAGGACGGTGATAAGAGAATACATGCACTGAATTAAGATACTATGAGAGGAAAGTCACCAATACTGGTATAAGCTATCGTGGCAAAAGCTATCCTGGCAAAAGCTATCGCGTTTGAACAATAATTAAGACAAAACCATGATATGATTTTTTATATTTATTATAATTGTCTATTTTATATTAAGGTTCAGTCAGTGATGGAGGTGTATGGAATAATACAGATTTTGCCGAAGCTTTAGAAAAAGGATTGGTCGATATACCTCCTCCAAAAAATTTGCCAAATACAAATATTATAACGCATTATGCTTTTGTTGGTGATGAAGCGTTCCCTCTAAAATTATACATGTTACGTCCATATTCAAAAGACAATTTGACAATTTCATTGTATTTTTGTGCAAAATTTTTTGTGCATAAGATTCGAAAAGCCACATGAAAAAGTAAAAAATGACTATACATTTCAAAACTTAAAATTTGTTTGAAGATAATAGGACCTGCGTATAAAGCTAAAAATCGAAGTTCTGACGCTTTCATATTTGGAACAAAAGCCCGAGGTTTCCGCTGGAATTCTGCAGGCACATATGATTTTAAATACGTTATACGTTCAAACAATTTTCGTTGAAGATTAGACTTTAATTTTACAGCACTCTTGTTAAATAGTAAGTCCATAATGTAAAACTTTTTAGTGATTCCCAAACAGCACAAATGCATATAATCCAAAGGGAAAGTATAAATCATATCGATTGATGGTTGTATTCGTAATAACGGTGAAAAGCCAATGTGATGTTCTTCTTGTTGCTGCTTTCTAAACGATTCGTCTGATCGTTTACAAGAATCGACATCAGGATATATTACGCGCTTATTTGGAAATCCTGCACTTTTCCCATAAACTTCACAACGCTCGCAGGCTGCATAGCCACCGTGTCCTTTTGTTTGTTTTAAGAATTTTCTGGCAGGGATATCACAAATAATATGTTTCAAGATCACAACATATTTTTTGTTATCTATGTAAATACCATTTTTACATAAATAATTCATTTCTTGGATAAAATCATCCATGAATTCATTGATATCACCTGGCTTCGTATCTCCGTAATAAATGGCCACAGG